GGAAAGAGCCCTGGACTGTGGACAACCACGAGCAAATAATAGAGACACTAAATGGACAGGAATGGACCAAAGATGTTATCATAGGTAAGAGCTGAGATGGGTAGAGTAGAAGCAACACTATTAAATAGTGTTTGGAGAACTCTCTGTGGGCCAGCTGGTGGTGTAATGGTTAAGGAAGTAAGATCCTACATGGCTGACTGTGTGGTTTGAGTCCTGTATGTGACCACATGAAGAACTCTGGGCTTGTGTGCTCAAAATTCCAAAAGGAGAAGGGATTCCAGCATGGCTATTCCCCATGGGGTTGCTTTCTGATTCTCACTCTGTCTATTTTTTTTTTTTTTAAGGTTTTGTCACAGGGCATGTGTGCTTGCTGGAGAGATAAAGTAATAAGAAAAGTGAGAAATCATCCCCTGGGGGATTGGCCATGCCACAGTCCCTTCTCTCCTGGGATTTTGGGTGTATATGCATGTGAGCCCTGTGTGATTTTCAAGTCTCTTGGAAGTCTAGGACTTGATCTGTGGTTGGCCACATAGGAGTCCAGAGCCTTAACCATCACACCACCTGCTGACCCTCTATTTCTTTATGGTGAGTGCATGTGACCTCTAGCAAAATTTGAAAACACAAACAGCTCAGGCCGGCAGGTGGTGTAGTGGTTGTATTGTTGGACTCCCACATGTCAAATCGTGGTTTGAGTCCTGGACCTGGTGGCTTATTTTCTCACTTTCCTTCTCTCTTTCTTTCTTTCTCTGGCAAGTGCTTATGCCCTATAGCAAAATTAAAATAATAAAAATAGTAATAATAACAAATAAAATTAAATGAGTAATCCTTTTATTTAAGAGAGTTTTGCTATACAGTGCATGTGCTTGCCAAAGAGACAGAGACAGAGAGTGATAAATCACCCCCCAAGAGGGATGGCTATGTCACAATCCCTTCTCCTCCATTCTCCTCTTGGGCTTTTGGGCATGCATGCAGTGGGCATGTTTCAAGCCGCTGGGTCTGGAACTTGAACCATGGTCACCATATGGGAGTCTAGCACCTTAACCACTATACTGCCTACTGGCCCCTCATGTTATTTGTTTCAATATGATATCTTATTATCTCTAATCACTAACCTGTAGTTCTTTAAATCTTGCAGATAGCTCTCAAAAATATGTTAAGGAATTACCAGCAAAAGGCAATAGTAATTCAGGAGAGCTATTGGAAAGAATAATGTTAGAAGGACATAAACCTCATGATATTGAAGAGTTTTCCTTTAGGGAAGTCCAGAAAAATACACATGCCTCTGTGTGTCAGTGGAGAGATGAAGAAAGACATTACAAAAGAAATCTCACTGAAAGAAGAGACTATCACAGAAGAAGGGATGTGGGAAACACAACTGTTAAAAATCAGCTTGGATTAAGGTTTCAGTCACATCTGCCTAAGGCACAGGTAACTCAATGTAAAGGCGAAACGTATGAATGTAATCAAGTTGAGAAGTCTATCGATGAAGTTTCTTTATTTTTACCAAACCAGAAAATTGCTTCTAATGTCAGAACCCACAGTGTTGGTAAATGTGGGAATACTTCTATGGGTTCTTCATTCTTCACACAAAAACAGAAAGAGAGGACAGATTCTTTCCAGTGTACTCAGTCTGGCACAACTTTTAATGGAGACTCACACTTCACTGTACATCAGACAGTTCTTACAAGAGGGAAACCATATAAATGTGATTTTTGTGGAAAGGACTTTAGTCAAAAATCAAACCTTGCCTGTCATCGTAGAATTCACACTGGGGAGAAACCTTACAAATGTAATGTGTGTGGCAAAGCATTTAATAATGGCTCACACCTCATTTTACATAAAAGAATCCATACCAGAGACAAACAATATAAATGTGATGTTTGTGACAAAGTATGTATCCAGAAGGCAAATCTTGCACGACATCGTAGAATTCACACTGGAGAGAAACCTTTTAAATGTAATGAATGTGCTAAAGTTTTTAGACAAAATTCAACCCTTACAGAACATCAGAAAATTCATACTGGGGAGAAACCTCATGAATGTAATGAATGTGGCAAAGTCTTCCGTCAGTCTTCAACCCTTGTCAGTCATCAAAGAATTCACAGCGGAGAAAAACCTTACAAATGTGATGAATGCGGCAAGGTTTTTAGGAGCAATTCAGAGCTTACTAAACATCAGAGAACTCATACTGGAGAGAAACCTTACAAATGTAATGAGTGTGGCAGGGCATTTAATGAACGCAAAAGCCTTACTGACCACCAGAAAATACATACTGGAGAGAAACCTTACAGGTGTAGTGAGTGCGACAAAGTCTTTCGTCTGTCTTCAATTCTTGCAGTTCACCAGAGAATCCATACTGGAGAGAAACCTTACAAATGTGACGTATGTGGAAAGGCCTTTAGTCGCAGTTCACTCCTTGCACAACATCGAACTATTCATACTGGAGAGAAATCTTACAAATGCAATGACTGTGACAAGGTCTTCAGAGTGTTGTCAAGCCTTAGGAGTCATCAGAAAATTCATACTGGAGAGAAACCGTACAAATGTAATGAATGTGGTAGATGTTTTCGTCATAATTCACACCTTGTAGAACATACGAAAACTCATACTGGTGAGAAACCTTACGAATGTAGTGAGTGTGGCAAACTCTTCCGTCAGTCTTCAACCCTTGCATATCATCAGAAAATTCATACTGGAGAGAAACCGTACAAATGTAATGAATGTGGCAAGGTCTTCAGGAGCAATTCACATCTTGAGCAACATCGCAGAACTCATACTGGAGAGAAACCTTACAAGTGTAGTGAATGTGACAAAGCATTTATTCTCCATAGACACCTTATTAACCACCAAAGAATCCATACTGGAGAGAAACCTTTCAAATGTAATGAATGTGGCAAAGTCTTTCGTCAGCCTTCGAACCTTGCTATTCATCGGAATATTCATACTGGAAAGAAACCACACCAGTGTAATGAATGTGGCAAAGTCTTTAGTAGCAATTCACACCTTGCAGAACACCGGCGTATTCATACTGGAGAGAAACCTTACAAATGCAATGAGTGTGGGAAAGCCTTTAGAGTGTCTTTTAGCCTTACTAACCATCTAGCAATTCATACGGGGAAGAAACCTCATCAATGTAATGAATGTGGCAAGTTCTTTAGGCACGCTGTAGACCTTGCACGTCATGGCAGAATTCACAGTGGAGAGAAACCATTCAAATGTAGTGAGTGTGGCAAAGTCTTTCGTCAGTCTTCTGCTCTTTCATGTCATCGGAGAATTCATACTGGAGAGAAACCTTACAAATGTGATGAATGTGGCAGAGTCTTTCGTCTGTGGTCAATGCTCTCAGTTCATCGGAGAACCCATACTGGAGAGAAGCCATACAAATGTGACAAATGTGGCAAGGATTTCAGTCGCAGTTCACTCCTTGCACAGCATCAGACTATTCATACTGGAGAGAAATCTTACAAATGCAATGACTGTGGCATTGTCTTTCGTCACTATTCAACCCTTTCACGTCATGGGAAAATTCATACTGGGGAGAAACCTTACAAATGTAATGAATGTGACAAGGTCTTTCGTCGCAATGCACATCTTGTACAACATGAGAAAATTCATGGAGCGAAACTTTGCTAAGGTAATTAATGTGACTTCGTCTCCGATGATCATACCTTGCAAAGTCTTGGAGAATTCATTTTGGAGAAAAATCTTCCATACGTAATGAATGGTTAAAACTTTTAACTTTCTTTGTTGGCTTTTACCATCAATGCATCCATAGTGAAGAGAGCTGTTACCAGTGTTATGGATGTGGCAAGGCCTTAAGGCAGAAGTCTGATAGTCTTCACTGGAGGGTTTATGCTATATGAGCCCTCACATATGTAATGGATGTGCCTGATCTCTTAATGTACACTCAGCCCTCATAAGGCATTAAGTAATTTGTACTGGTGAGAAATCTTACAGATGAAGTAAGCATGGCCAATCCTTTAGTATGTTTTCCCAGCTCTCCAGACATTGGGTAATCCATAATGGAGAGAAACCGCATAATTGTAATGAATGTGACAAGTTTTCCTGTCAAAGTTCACATGTATGTTAGTCTATCGATGAAGTTTCTTTATTTTTACCAAACCAGAAAATTGCTTCTAATGTCAGAACCCACAGTGTTGGTAAATGTGGGAATACTTCTATGGGTTCTTCATTCTTCACACAAAAACAGAAAGAGAGGACAGATTCTTTCCAGTGTACTCAGTCTGGCACAACTTTTAATGGAGACTCACACTTCACTGTACATCAGACAGTTCTTACAAGAGGGAAACCATATAAATGTGATTTTTGTGGAAAGGACTTTAGTCAAAAATCAAACCTTGCCTGTCATCGTAGAATTCACACTGGGGAGAAACCTTACAAATGTAATGTGTGTGGCAAAGCATTTAATAATGGCTCACACCTCATTTTACATAAAAGAATCCATACCAGAGACAAACAATATAAATGTGATGTTTGTGACAAAGTATGTATCCAGAAGGCAAATCTTGCACGACATCGTAGAATTCACACTGGAGAGAAACCTTTTAAATGTAATGAATGTGCTAAAGTTTTTAGACAAAATTCAACCCTTACAGAACATCAGAAAATTCATACTGGGGAGAAACCTCATGAATGTAATGAATGTGGCAAAGTCTTCCGTCAGTCTTCAACCCTTGTCAGTCATCAAAGAATTCACAGCGGAGAAAAACCTTACAAATGTGATGAATGCGGCAAGGTTTTTAGGAGCAATTCAGAGCTTACTAAACATCAGAGAACTCATACTGGAGAGAAACCTTACAAATGTAATGAGTGTGGCAGGGCATTTAATGAACGCAAAAGCCTTACTGACCACCAGAAAATACATACTGGAGAGAAACCTTACAGGTGTAGTGAGTGCGACAAAGTCTTTCGTCTGTCTTCAATTCTTGCAGTTCACCAGAGAATCCATACTGGAGAGAAACCTTACAAATGTGACGTATGTGGAAAGGCCTTTAGTCGCAGTTCACTCCTTGCACAACATCGAACTATTCATACTGGAGAGAAATCTTACAAATGCAATGACTGTGACAAGGTCTTCAGAGTGTTGTCAAGCCTTAGGAGTCATCAGAAAATTCATACTGGAGAGAAACCGTACAAATGTAATGAATGTGGTAGATGTTTTCGTCATAATTCACACCTTGTAGAACATACGAAAACTCATACTGGTGAGAAACCTTACGAATGTAGTGAGTGTGGCAAACTCTTCCGTCAGTCTTCAACCCTTGCATATCATCAGAAAATTCATACTGGAGAGAAACCGTACAAATGTAATGAATGTGGCAAGGTCTTCAGGAGCAATTCACATCTTGAGCAACATCGCAGAACTCATACTGGAGAGAAACCTTACAAGTGTAGTGAATGTGACAAAGCATTTATTCTCCATAGACACCTTATTAACCACCAAAGAATCCATACTGGAGAGAAACCTTTCAAATGTAATGAATGTGGCAAAGTCTTTCGTCAGCCTTCGAACCTTGCTATTCATCGGAATATTCATACTGGAAAGAAACCACACCAGTGTAATGAATGTGGCAAAGTCTTTAGTAGCAATTCACACCTTGCAGAACACCGGCGTATTCATACTGGAGAGAAACCTTACAAATGCAATGAGTGTGGGAAAGCCTTTAGAGTGTCTTTTAGCCTTACTAACCATCTAGCAATTCATACGGGGAAGAAACCTCATCAATGTAATGAATGTGGCAAGTTCTTTAGGCACGCTGTAGACCTTGCACGTCATGGCAGAATTCACAGTGGAGAGAAACCATTCAAATGTAGTGAGTGTGGCAAAGTCTTTCGTCAGTCTTCTGCTCTTTCATGTCATCGGAGAATTCATACTGGAGAGAAACCTTACAAATGTGATGAATGTGGCAGAGTCTTTCGTCTGTGGTCAATGCTCTCAGTTCATCGGAGAACCCATACTGGAGAGAAGCCATACAAATGTGACAAATGTGGCAAGGATTTCAGTCGCAGTTCACTCCTTGCACAGCATCAGACTATTCATACTGGAGAGAAATCTTACAAATGCAATGACTGTGGCATTGTCTTTCGTCACTATTCAACCCTTTCACGTCATGGGAAAATTCATACTGGGGAGAAACCTTACAAATGTAATGAATGTGACAAGGTCTTTCGTCGCAATGCACATCTTGTACAACATGAGAAAATTCATGGAGCGAAACTTTGCTAAGGTAATTAATGTGACTTCGTCTCCGATGATCATACCTTGCAAAGTCTTGGAGAATTCATTTTGGAGAAAAATCTTCCATACGTAATGAATGGTTAAAACTTTTAACTTTCTTTGTTGGCTTTTACCATCAATGCATCCATAGTGAAGAGAGCTGTTACCAGTGTTATGGATGTGGCAAGGCCTTAAGGCAGAAGTCTGATAGTCTTCACTGGAGGGTTTATGCTATATGAGCCCTCACATATGTAATGGATGTGCCTGATCTCTTAATGTACACTCAGCCCTCATAAGGCATTAAGTAATTTGTACTGGTGAGAAATCTTACAGATGAAGTAAGCATGGCCAATCCTTTAGTATGTTTTCCCAGCTCTCCAGACATTGGGTAATCCATAATGGAGAGAAACCGCATAATTGTAATGAATGTGACAAGTTTTCCTGTCAAAGTTCACATGTATGTTACAGCATTCATACATGGTAAACCTTACAAATGCAATGGCATAACAAATTCATTCTTATGAGTTGGTGCATTAATTGCCATCAGAGAATCCAGGGAAATTTATAATTGCTTGTGATTGAGCAGCATTCCCCATTTTTTTAAGAGGTTTTTTTGTTGTTGTTTGTTTGTTTGTTTGTTTTTTGCTATAGAGCACATGTGCTTACCAGAGAGACAGAGACAGACAGAAAACAAGAAATCACCCCCCCCACCCCCTGAGGGATGCATGCCAAAATCCCTTCTCTAGTCTCCTCTTGGTATTTGGACATGCACACACATTCACCTGGCATGAGTTGGAAGCTGCCGGGCCCAGAACTCAACCTTCAGTCAACTACATGGGAGTCCAGTGATGTAACCATTATGCCATCTGCTGGTCTCTTCCCCGACAGTTTTGATACCAAGGATAAGTTTCATGGAAGACAATTTTCCATGGATGAGGAGGGAGGGAGGGAAGGAGGGAGGGAGGGAGGGAGAGGAAAAAGAGGAGTAGGTGGTGGTGGTGAGGAGGATGGTTTCAGGATGAGTCAAATGCATTACATTTATTGTGCACTTTATTACTACCTTGTAATATACAATGGAATAAGTATAAAACTTACCATAATGCAGAATCAGTAGGAGCCCTGACCTTGTTTTCCTGTAACTAAAACTTTTAATTTGGGAGCTCCTATGAGAATAATGCCACCACTAATCTGGCAGGAGGCAGAACTCATGCAATACGTGGAGTGATGGGGAATGGCTATAAATACAGATGAAGCTTCTCTAGCTTGCCTGCTGCTCATCTCCTGGTACATGGTATTGGTCTGTGGCCCAGGGTCTAGGGACACCTGTGGCAGAGGCCTTTATTAGGCTTTAGAAGTCACTAGGCATCAAAATATGTCTTTGATAAAACTGTATAAATGTGCACACTAACGATTCCACCCGAGAATTAAACCTACAACATCAGGGGATTTACACTGGAGAAACACTGAATATAATGAATATAGGGTTTTGGTTTTGTTTTTTAAGCTATTGCCATAGGGCATGTGCATTTGCCAGAAAGAGGCACAAAGAAAGGGAAAGTGAGAAATTATTTCCCAGAGGTGGTTGCCACACCACAATCCATTCTCTTCGGGATTTTTGGGTACACACACACTCATACTTAGCATCATTTTCAAGCCTCCAGGTCTGGGACTTTTTTTTTTTTTTTTTTTTAACCCCAGAGAGGTTTTTGCTATAGGGTGTGTATGCTCGCCAGAAAGACAGAGACAGAGAGTCAGAAAGCGAGAAATTACCCTCCGGGGGGATGGCCACACTGCAATCCCTTCTCTTCTTGGGATTGTGGATACTCATGCACATGTGCTCAGCATGAATTTTTTTTTTTAATAATTTATTTTTCATTATAATTTTTTTCTATCACAACACACAAATGAATTTTCCATCCAAAATACACTGTGCATTGGCTCAATCAAGCACATCAACATACATGTTCTCAGCAAATAATTTCCCAATTCTTATGTCCTGCATACCTTGCCTTTTGTTTTGCCATCCT